CCGCAACTTTTCCGCAGGTTTTCCGCAACTTTTCCGCAGGTTTTCCGCAAGTTTTCCGCAGGTTTTCCACAACTTTTCCGCAAGTTTTCCGCATCTGTTCCGCAGGTTTTCCGCATCTTTTCCGCAAGTTTTCCGCGGTGTTTCCGTGCTTGTTCCACATTGGTTCGCGCCGTGTTTGTAGATTTTTGGCGTTGTTCCGCAGCCAGCATTGCGTCCACAATACGTTTGCTGGTTTTCCTCAGCAAATAGTTCCAGATGGTCATATGATCCACATGTTTTCAAAAAAGATTCACATGTGTTCCAGGGGTTCGACTATGTTGTATACTACTTTCTTGTAGAAGGTATTATTGAACGTCTTTTCCTTTACTTTTGTTGCCCTTCTCGCCCTCGGGTCCCTACTCTTCCTGTGCCCCCGGCTGTCCATGCTATGGCTGTGGCCAAAATGGTATCGGCTAGTGAAACGTAGTCAAATGCATGGTACACTTTCCAGTCTAGTAGTTGTCTTGAAACATCAAGTCACCAAGTCTGTCGAAAATTACTGGGTCTCAAACGTTGAGTCGAGAGATGTCGAGAGGTCAAGAGAGAAACCAGTCACATGTTCCCCGCCTTCACTGCTCAATTGGCTGTGGGTGAGGTCATCGGTCCTGGGAGCCGATCATTGATCCAAATCTCAATTATTCAGTTCTACTATCGAATCTAATCTGAACTACCCGTCAATGAATGACCATTTACGGTCATTTACGGTTCACATCTTTACATTAAATATATCTAGTCTATCTACCAACTCATCAACAGTTATCCACGCGTCCGCTTAACACATCCACGGGTCCATCTCCAGTACAGTTCCTATCATTTGAACAAGACACATTCGAAACAGGCAGTTGTGCACATCAGTGGCGTCCTGGCGCTGACGGATCTTCATGCGCCACTTCACCGATCTCAGCTGCAAGCTGGATTCGGAGTGGCCCGGGGCATCTACCTCCAAACCCTTGGCCAACCATTGCTTCAAGTCTTTCTCCACATCTGCGTAGGTTGGAGAATGCCCCAAGAGGCGTGCAACTTCCGCTTGTCGCTCAGACCCCTCTGGCGGCAAAGAAATCGCACAAGTGCAAGACTTGTGACTTGTGTATTTTGCAGGTGGCCTTCAAACTTGTAGCCCCCAAGTGGTGCAAGCGGCCCACTGGAGCGTCGCTTGCCAATGCACAGAAATCCCAACCACCCTTGTCGTAAATGAGCTCGGCCTCTTGCGCCTGTGGCTGCGGAGGCTGTGCAGGCTGTGCTGCCTGGGCTATGGCTATCTCAGCTATCTCACTGTTTGCATTTGGCGAACCTTCTGCAGGTGAATCTCTGTCCTGGTCCTCACCCCCATCCTCTCCCCCAGCCTCCGAACCACTGTCCGAATTCTCTTCTGGCAAAGGCTGAGCAATCACATCCTGGGGATCTTGAGCATCCCGGATCAGCTGGTCAATTGGGTTGGACTCTTCTTCCACAAACATTTGGCGCTCATGGTGCGCAGGCCCTGCATGGCCAGAGCGCCGCACACGGCGACGTGTCACAAGATCTTCCAACAAGTCATCACCGCCAATATCATCAAGAGCGAGAACTGCTTCTCGACGACCAGGAGCTCTTGGAATCAAGCTGGCCTGAGCCTCAAACGCATGTCCCGTCCCTGTGATTTCATATGTGTCAAGGCGTGGCTCTCCAACCCAATGGAATTTCCAGGTTAACAAAACCAAGCGGACCTTGTCCATCGGCACATTGTCTACAAAGCACATGGATGCAGCAAATTCATCCTCCGACATACACACCAACCTTCCAGGCAAGAACCCAGAAGTTGTTTGCACGATCACAACATGTAACATTGACTTTGCCTAGAAAACCCTACCTGTGCCGTTTTGGCCAACCTTTGGACATCTTCCAACCAAATGACGCAGTCAAGAACAACAAAATGAAAGAAGATTCACGGCGAGTAAGGCAAGTACATAAACTCAATACACAGGTTTTGAGGCTATGCTCTATGTTGCTGCATAAGAATACAATGCGCAACAAAAGCTCTCAAGCATTGACATTTGAAAAAATACCTGTAATTATATCACGACTATACTGCATAGTGAAACACGCAACCCCTGACTGAAGACACGCAATGGAACCGAATCCAGGCCTGCCACTGGTTGCTTGGTTCAATGGCGGTCTTGGAGGCTTCTTCCGCTGCACAAACTCTTGTCGGTGATGGCGCAGGACCAATCCAGGCCCATATGCCTGACCAGATTGCTTGAACATATATAAGTTAATACTAGATAATATATAATATATAATATATATACAATATAATATATGGTTTAATATTCAATATATGGGTAATTTGAACCAGGCTTTTTCAGCGTTGCGGCAAGTCCTTTGGGAGGAACTGGAAGGCAATAAGTTTGAAAAGGGACCACAGAACAAGGATAACACAATAACTAGATTGGTCCAGGTGTTGGTGTAGCAGAAAAAACAATTTCAAGATGCCCCCACTCATGGAAATCGCGGCCTGAATCCCCCTTGGCTCACACAATGGCTCCAGCTTTGCCAGCGTCACTTGAGCGGCGTGATGTGCTTGGCGTCCACTCGCATGCACAATGGCAAAGAAAGTAACTTTGATTGCGCTTGCACCAGCAACATCTTCAACAGCCTGGTATTGTTCTGAAACCCAAAGTATGGAAGCTTGGGAAATGTGGGCTGGCTTGCCCGATTCTTGGACCACCCTGAACAAATTGTCCACGATGCCTTTGTGCAGCTTCAGAGTTCGTTGTGTGCTTTGCATGCGGCACAAGGCCCCGCAACAACCAGGATAAAGTACCTTGTCGGGGACCATATCACCGGCAGCAATTGTCGATGCCTCCTTGGCAAATTTGCCGATAGCCCCACGAATGCCACCTGCAACTTTGGCCCGGGCAGAAATGTCTTCAGGTTTTATCGGGTATTTTTGCTTTGACACAGCGGCTGACACTCCAGACCTGGCTTGCTGCTCCAGTGGGACAAGCAAACTCTGGCAAGCAAAATGCTCGGGGAATGGCGGCGCGTCATGAGATTGTGCATCCTCTCGGATCATGATCTCCAATGCATCTGCATTTGCATCAGTCTTTGCCGCAGCCACACCAGCATGCATAGCTTCACCTTCAGCTGTACCATGGGGTTGATTATTGGAAGGATGTGATTCCTTCACGCTGGAATCCTTCGACTGCCTACTATCCAAAATCTTCCTGTTCACAGCAGCTTCGAGCTTGCTAGCTTGTGCTCTATTTTCCAGTGCCTTCTTCTGCTCCGGAGGCAAACTGGCAAAAGCATCTTTGCATGCAGCATGCGCCTCTTTCGAAGCTGGATTCCAACATCTGCCCAGAAGCTTCTCCGATTGGAGCCAATCCCACTTGAAGAGCTCCTGTGCCGATTGCGCGCGAATAAGCCGGCCTCCAGGATTCACACGTTTCTGACGTCTACTTGCAGGACGGTCAGCGGATACAGTGTCAGATCCCTTATCAACGAGCCCTTCCTCCTGGAGATGCTTTAGCTGCTCTTGCCGCAACCTTTCCGTAGCTGTGCTTTGGAGCCTGCACTCAGCAAGAACACTGCCAGCCGAAAACATTCCAAAAGGCATTCCCTTGTTGGCTTGTTGTTTATGCGTAGCATGGCGTCTCTCAATCCCAGCAATGGTCAGCTTTGTGACAAAAGATGCCAGCAGTGCAAACCATCGAAACTGTGGCAATAGCTGCATGAAATCATCCTTGCTGCTCACATATTGCCTGAGCTCTCGGGCAGTTCCCGGCGGGAGGCAACAAGGCAATGTCTTGTAGAACTTGTCGATGATTGCCCCGTGGTCACATCGTCGGGCATCGGCCACAGCATACAACTTGAAAGGGTATTTGTCCAATGTTGCTACATATCTCCTGTGAACACTTCCAGCAAGAAGCAAGAAAAGGTGTCTTGCCTGGCGAGCCTGCTGTGGATGTTGATCAATCCAGTCTGACATGGTCAGGCACCCCTCCAATTGCCAGATCAGCCTCAATCGAGTGCAAGTCCCAGCCACCAGTGTACTGAAATACTGAAGCACCGCAATGAAGCGGCTTGCTGGTGCCCACACCTCTGAAAGCAGGTTTGGCCACTCTTGGTCGTTTGGGGCCGTATGAGCAAATTTAAGAAACAAAGAATGCAGGTGTCTCAGTGGCTCAATAGCAATTGCAAGCAATGTACGCTGAAAGCGTTCCTCAGAGCAAGCCAAAACTTTACGCGTGCGGTGGTATCGGCTCCCAGCCAACTTTCGCCATTCAATAAACACAGTCTCTCCAGAAACATCTTGCTGGGGTAGCTCCATCGCCCATTCAGCGTTCTCAAGAAGGGTGCTCAAGATGCCCTGGAATTCGGCCGCCAAGAAAAAGTCGAGATTAGGCCCAAGCCGCACCCAATCAGAAAGCAAAGGGGTTACAGGGACGGTTCGGAGGAGCACCCTCATAATTCCCCACAGCGCCTTGGCTTCTGCCTCCTCCCTGTCATTGCAACATCCATTTATGCAACAGTGTACCAGGCGTGTGCGATCCCAATACGGTCCATTCAGAATCCTCTCGAAGCACACCTTGATGTCATTTGCAGCACGTTGCCATCCCAAAAGTCCTTCACAAAGGAGACTCACACAGACGTCACACAGGTCTGACTTCAAAACGTCTTGATGGCGTCGTTTCAATAAAGTATTCGAGCACGAGGCGTGCCATGATGCAAGACATGTGTCGCCCCCAATTGCATTTTAAACTCTAAACGTGGATTTTGACTAAAGCCCAAAGGTTTTGGGGAAACGCGACCACTGTTTGCATCACGATGCGCCTCCGACAAATATGGAAAAATTGCACCACCGGTCCTCCACTACGTGAGCTCATTTCACGGGAGCTGCGCCGCAAATTGTCAGTCAAATAGCTAATGAGCTCTTGGGAGAATCTTCGGCCTTCTTGTAATTGCTCACTGGTTGGAAAGGGGATCCAATGGAAAAAACTGGCTTGGGAGATGAGAACCTGGACACTACTGAGCAATCTCACAAAGTGACCTCCCATGCGAAGGAAAAGCGTAGCACAGAAGAGGTTTGGAATTGTTTTGCCTCCAGTCGCTTCATGTTTGTGGAGACTTTCAACAGCACCAACGATGGACAGCTGCACTTGGTGATTCTGGCAAAGAACCTGTTCAGTAAGACTGCTAGGCAGTTCAGCATCAGCAGCATGAGACTGTGCTGAAGAAACTCCTGCTTCCAAACGTTGCTGATAGAGATGGAAGTGGAGCTTCTCGTTTGCCAAATGCCCATCTGTCTCGTGGATCCAGGCAGAAAGCTTGCTTGCAAGCAAGATTTGATTCACTAGGCTCGTGAGTGGCTTTGTGAGCGGATGATTGAATAGAGCATTCCACAGGCTAGACGCACTGTTTGAAGACAACGGGAGAGGGGGGAGCACAAACTCGTGGTAGAATTTTATGCCATTCACCCATCCCACCACGAGCTGCAGTCTAGCAACCATGACTTCCCACGAAGATGACGTTTGATGACGCAGCGCTGGACCAGCCACATTCGAGTCCAAGGACAACATCTGAGAGGTTCATCCCAGGCAAGAGAAGCAACTGCAATCTCAGGTGTGCTGGTGCAAGCTGCGTCCCAAAAATGATGCAACAGCTTCAATTGTACTTCAAGCACCGTCGATGCAGCAAACGCAAGGGCCCGCCTAATTGTGATCCTCGAAACATCATACCGCTCTGCCAAGAAGGTGCGCCTTTGGCAGTTTCCAAATCCAATCGCAAGTATCTCATGGGTGGTGAGTTTGCCACCGGCTTGGTTCAATGACTGTTGCTTTTCGTAAACTTCGCGAAGTCCTTGAGACTCTTCCGCAGTTTGCAGTAGCGCATATGTGCCGCAAGGGCTGTCTTTTGCTCGAGCGTCCTCTTCTGCGGGCCACCAAATCGCCCAGATCTTCTCTTTCCTTTTGCCTGCCCGTATGTAAGGCGATGAGCTGGCGTCGATTGGATAATATTTAGCGTTTGTCAGTCTCTACACACATGTAACATGTATCATTGCTGTATCATGTAACTGTAACATTGTGTCATGATTGTATACGAATGTAATTTGTTTCAACAACACATTTCCGGGATTGGTTTTCTCATCTTTCAGAGCACAACTCACTCCAAACCATTCTTCAAAGGACTGGCATAAACCCCAAAGACTCCAAGCTAAGTGTCGGTGCGTAACGTATCTTTTTACCACACAGGCAAGACAAATTAATTCTCAGCTGTTTTTTACAAAGGCCTCTTTTTGATACAGCTGTTATGGGCCACCAATGGATCTCATATCCCGTAGCCCATAGCTAGCTCATTTGGGATATTCACGGCTATGGGCTATGGGCCATGGGGTCCTCCAAGCGCATGTTGCATGCTGTAAATTATATATATTATGAGCCGTTCTTGCTCATTGCTATGGCGTATTATGACGTTATAGTTAGTTATAGTTCTAATAAACATGAAACGAGTGACGCTACCGGTAGGTACAATGCCATGCCATTGCTGCAATGCAACAACTCTGACAGCCACCCCGGAGCAGGCCCCGATTTGCCAACCTTGCTTCCATGAAGCTCCACTGACAGGTCCAATTGGCCACTAGCTTCCTCACAATCGTCCTGTCAGACGATATCAAGAATGACCATGGTCACTAGGGGAATAAAAGGAACATTTGGGCTCGCTGCCAAATTGTCAACTTGCTCCCGGAACCCTCCTTAAGTTAAGTCTGAACTTGAATGAAAAAGTACACAACTACTTACCCACCTTTTGTTACTTCGACACACTTGAACAAACCTGTACTGTATTGTAACATTGTACGTAGACACAGTGCGGGTTCGGGTCCGATTCGAAAATGTCATGTTAGTGCCCTTGAAAGACGCTTCCAGAATTTCCGTCTCCAAAGGCCTGGCCAAGGCCCAGATCATATCCTACTAAATTTTGTTGATATAGACTATAAAACAATAAGTGACAGTGGTTGGTGAGACCCCAGACTCAACATTGAACGGCATCGGACTTGGGTTAGCGGGTGGCAAATCTAAAGTGTTGGAGTTTGTCCTTGACCATCCTGTGTCCCAAGCCACCCCCTCAGCGCTCTCCTCACAATCCATGTCATTCTCCAAATTGGTGCCCAAGGCCTGAAGGACGCACAAGTCACACGCAAGTGACTGCAGATGTCAAGGTTCAATGTAATACAATTCAAACGTCTGGAAAGAACGTGTGGAAAACGTTCACAAAACAAGTTGACATCGCACCATGGTCAGCCTATGGTCCATGGCCCATGGTCCCATGGTCATGATGTCCAGTGGTCCGAGGTCTATCAACCCCCAGGCCTCCAAAAGGTCAAAGTGAGAGTCATGAGGATCTTCGCTACGATCTTCATCCTGAAGCACACACAGGTCACATGCAAGTGACTGCACGTGTCAAGGTTTCAATCTAGTATCAAAATTGTATCTATAATATATTATATATGTAATTTTAATTATGTATATATTATGTTTATCCTTTCACAAACGTTCACAAAACAAGTTGACATCGCCCCATGGTCAGCCTATGGTCCATAGTCCATGGTCCCATGGTCACAATGTCCAGTGGTCCAAGGAACCTCGGCCATGTGTAATGTTAAAAACGCCAGGCCTCCAAAAGGTCAAAGGGAGAGTCATGAGGATCTTCGCCACGATCTTCATGATAGTCCTGTCCCATGGTCAAAAGGTCCAGGATCAAAAGTTACATGTTACATGGAGTTCCAAATTTGCTAGCTGCTAACAGGTTGAACATCGGGGCCTGCAAAAGGTCAAAGTGAGAGTCATGATCATCGCCACGATCTTCATGGTAGCCCTGTCGCATGGTCATAAAAACTCCAGGATCACAAACTACTATATAGTTGAATATCGGGCCTCCAAAAGGTCAAAGTGAGAGTCGTGAGGATCTCCGCTATGATCTTCGTGGTAGTCCTGTCCTATGGTCACAGGGTCCAGTCACAAGTGACAAGTGGCTCAAGTGGCAAGTCACAAGTTCATGGTAATCCTGTCGTCAATTGATAAGTGACTTGTGCAATCGCTGGCCGTAGAGGATGCACTCTCGCAAGTTCTCAAGCTCATAGTCGAAGGCAACCTTGATGGCCCTGATGTCCAAGTTGTAGCCCAACATCACAGCACGGTACATGTCATGAAGCAGCCGCTCATCAAAGTTTGGCATGAAGGGTGGCATGGCGATAAGCGGAAACGCTACACAGTAGGCTACACACTCACACTCACACACTGCTGATGTGACAAAAGCTACAGAAAGTGAAAGTTGAGGCCACCTAAACAAACTCAAACTTGATTTAGCTTGACTGCTTCACTCCGGACCCCCAGTCTCCTCCGCTCAGAATGGCTTCGCCGCCATTTGGGATGCGCTCCGACGTCGTATAGGCAGCATAGATTGACTGACACTAGGCCATTGATTGGCCATTGAGCTGTCAATCAGTGACTTTTCTTGAAGTTTAGGCTTAGGTTCTTGTCGCAAATGATTAATTGTGAACCTATGGTCAACCTAATTTATGACTCATGACTCATGACCTTATGATTCACTTATGATATCTTCTGTCAGTTGTGAAAGAGCCATCATGGAGTCATGGCATTGTCTTTAGTTTTTCCGAGCAAAACATCTGGTGTGAAACTATATGTTGACGGGAAGAAAGTTGCGGAATACAGTGTTTTTCACGCCAGAAATCTTTGTGGAAAACATAGTTTTGATAGTGAAAATCTTTGTGGAAAACATTGTTTTGAAAGGGAAAAAAGTTGTGGAAAACATGCTTGTGAAAGGGAAACTGTTTGTGGACATCATTGCTTTGAAAGGGAAAAGCTTTGTGGAAAACTGGCGTTTTCACACACCAATCTCACTTACCAATTCTTGACGTTTCATTCGTAAAGAAGACCATCCAGCAGTTGTTTGAGGACCCCCCTAATTCATGACCTTTGTTCCATGCTGTTTGCTGAGAATATTCTTGCAAAGTGCGCATGGTCTCAGCCCAGCCGCGCCTTTGGCGCTAAGCAGAGCCCTGATTGCTTCGTAGTCGCCTAGAAAGGCTTTGACTTCCAAACGAAGACGGATGTTACAGACCTGAACGCCCATAGACAAGTTCTGGCTTGCTAAATGCCTCAGCACTGCGGCGCCCACTTCACTCGTGGATCCACTGACCAAGCTAACATCGCGGCTTGGGATGCAGGCCAACGGGAACCACGCGTCGGCGCGGCCGACATCACCTAGACTTTGGATTGTGAAGTACCACAAGTGCATCTTCTTGCTGCTTGAGGTGGACAAAACGTTGCCGCCCGTCGCCTCGTCCTCGACAACTACCACTGGATGGATTTTGTCCTCAAGCGCACCTAAACGTTGGAGGTAAAAATCGGCAGATCTAGCAACGTAGTCTAACAGCGGCTCTACATTTGCGCACCAGAATCGTATATTGGGACCTCCGTCGTGGGCTGGTACTTCCAACTCTGAATAGCAGCGCCGAGCTGGCTCAAGGATTTGCTGGCTTTGTCTTTTCCAGGCGCCGCTTTGAGGAACTTGAGGGTCACGATTGTTTAGCACTAGCTTGGCTTTCCAGGCGCTTAGAGAGCTTTGGTGTGCCAAGAGCTGAGAGATTTTTTGTTTCTTTGGCGCGCTCTCCATGTAGTGTCCTGTCCTGTCCTGTCTATGAATTTGTTTTGTTTATGCATTTGTTTTGTCTATGCATTTGTTGGATTTTGTTGGAAAGTGCAACCTAAGAAAACAATCGTGAATTAAATGGGTTCGTTGTTTGCTGGACAGAGCCAACCTGATATAGGTTGCAGCCTTTGAATTCCAAGAAATGGCGGGCTACCGCCTGCTATGTGGGCACTATATGCAAAAGACATGTAGTACGTGAGCACTTATTCATATGTACCTTTACACCTGAACACACCACACAGTTGGTCCATCCTAAGTAGATAATACAACATCACTGATTGGATAGACAAACACGGCGGGCAACCACCTTGTTTTTCACTTCGCGCACCACAGAGTTAATTAATCCTATAAGTGGGCCCTCACCTCAGAGAGTAGTTGTTGAACAGGCCATAGCACATCGAAGAATGCCTTGTTCTCGTGTACCCTGAAGAATTGCTGCGCCGTCCCCAAGTAGCCCACGCATTGGCTCACCTCACTTCGCTTCAGGGCAACACTGCGACCATGTGCTTGGGAATATGCTGCAATCTTCTGTTGTATGCTGCGCCCTGGTGGGTCTCCAAATTTCACATAGCCTGAGTAGGCCTCCTCATCCAAGGCCACACCAAATTCGAAATGGCGCCGCAAACAGGCTAGACACAAAATAGCCTTGCTCAGAAGCTCTGCTTTCGACCAACTGTCCGTGTAGAAATCGACAAGCCATACACAGGTTTCCTTCAAGTTCTCGAGCTCAAAGTTGGCCACGTAACTCAGTTGCTCCTTATCATATTGGTACAGTGCAGAAAATCCATTTGCCAGATCCTGCACCACTGAAGTTTCCACTGTAGTGTCATGCATGGAGACGACAGGGATCATGATACCTAAAAGGACAGAGCTGCGCGGGCACCTGATGTTTTGAACCAAACCTATAGTATATGAATATATGGAGACCATGAACTATATTCGGCGGGCGACCGCCAAACGTTTGACAAACACAAAACATATAGTGTATGAATATATGGAAACCATGAACTATTCGGCGGGCGACCGCCAAACGGTTGACAAATCTGCAAGACTTGAACTTCCATAGAATACAAATGTGACTTGCCACAGTTCAAGAGAGAGAAGGCGGCGCACTAGAATCTACACGCATTTGTTTTCCCACTCTTTTACCCCTCCGTTTGAGCACAGGTAATTAGACACCTTGCGTGATCTGGGACATGCCAGGTCACCGAAGCAAGAACCCCTATCTCAAAGCCACGAGCCGACTTTCTTCAGGATGTCCTGGGCCTGTGACACCACAGTCTCAGCCAGGCTCAGCTTCTCCTCCATTTGCTCCAGGGTTGCCGCATCAGCGTCGCCCTCCTTCAGACCCTTCTTGGCCTTCTGCATCCGGTCCAACACAGGCTGCAAGCATGTCAGGGCCGTGCTAGCCAAAGTGGTGGCAACCTTGGTGTTTTTTGCTGCCTCTGCACTGGCCTTCTTTGCTGCTTTTGCAGCTTCTCTTTTCTTCAAAGCCGCAAGCTGCTTCTCAGTCAAACCTTTCCCACCAACGACTTCCACCTCGTCTTCGCTCTCCAGATCTACCAGATCCACGAGGTCCTGGTCGACAGGAACCTCTTCGGCTGGCTCCTCTGGCTCATTGCCTTTGTTTCTTTTGTTGGACTTGGCCTTGGCCTGCGCTTGGCAGCCTTGTCAACCAATTGGAGGGCCTCCTCGACCTTCTGAAAGATGGTGTCGGTGGACACGTGAAATATGTCCACACGATATGTGCGGCCTAGCACTGGATGCTCCATGGACTCTGCAAGGGCCTCGATCTTGGTCACGTCGTAGCCACGCTGCTGCCAATAGCCAAGGGGATGGAACTCTCCGTTGAAGCCTCGCTTCGTCTCCTCCATGTGACGGTGAACAAGGCAGGCCTTCATCTCGGCGCGCAAAAGCTGAAAACGCAAAGGACCATCGCCTTTCTTCTCCAACATGGCCTTGTAGAAGTTGACGCTGTCCTCGTGGGAGAGCGTGTCCCATCCGGCTGGCATGCCATCACATGATCTAGCCATCATTGTTTGCACGGCGTGGCAGCTTTTGCACAGAACCTTGTTCCGTGGGCCTTTTGTCAAGTGCTTCAAGACCATTTGGTCAGCTTCCACTGGTGTGTCACACTTCTGACACCTTGGACCTTCGCTATCCTCCAATGGATCTGGAATTTGTGCCGGAACTGTCTGGAAATCCTCCTCCACTGCCATGGTCTCTGCTACAGCATCTGCCATGGTGCAGAACCAACACAAAGACAGTGACCGGCTAACTTTGACTTTGAGATCTCAAATGATCACTCAATTGGTTCATAGATCGAGGCCACCCCGGATACATGCGGATACCATCCGGATACATGATCATAGATGTATCCGGATGGTATCCGAATGTATCCCATCCGGATACACAGGGATACAAACGGATACCATCCGGATACATCAAGGACAATGTATCCGGATGGTATCCGGATGTATCCGCATGTGTCACTGCAACCATGGCAAAGCAGTGAATATTTTGTGACAACGTTTCATATCTTCCCACACCATTGACATTGTTTGATGGTGATATGTCTTAATGCATGGAACAGTCACTGTAGCCTAAGTCCAAACAGACCGTCAACAAACAAAAACATGACTTGCACGGGCTACCGCGCTCATCACAGAACCCAACATACAAGACTGCGACAGGCAACTTCTTTTGAAGACAGTTTCTGGTCCATTGTTGGCGATCACTTCTTTGACGGCTTCTTCTGGGCCGCTTTCTTTACACACGCGCGCGGCTTCTTGTCTGCAGCCACCTTGGCACTCGATGGTTTCTTTCTCGGTGTCGATGCCGCACTTGGCAACTTCTTCATCACAGCCACCTGGCATTGCCTGCTCCCTTCATTTTCCAACTCCTGGGCCTGGACCATCTTCTCTTGCTCATCAAGTCTTTTCTCTTGCTCTTTGAGGCTTTTGCTGCGCTCCTTCTGTGTGGCCAACATGTTATTGACCCTGGTAAGCTCCTGGGGTTGATTGAAGAAGGAATCCGAACGGGTACGCCATGAGTTGCGCCCAACAAATGTCTCACCGACACAGAAACGTAAGAGTCTCTGATCATGTTGAGGACACGTCAAATCATGTAATCTAGTGGCTGATGTAATTGCGTCCATCATTGAGCTGGAGAAATCGAAGGCGCAGCGCCCGAGCACTTCCCCAGTCATAGTGCCAACCTCGAGCTCATTCTCGACTTTCCTCAGGATCAGAACCCTCTGAATCACCTGATCGTGAAAACCATAGTTCTCAGGTGGCAGTGAGACAAGGATAGTAGTTCTGGTAGTGATTCACCACCAGGTGTGCTGGAGAAGAAGATCCACCAAGAGACTGCAAGTTCAAATGGATCCTTGGATTAAAATCGACAATTTCAGAAGGTGGCCTGGGAAGCCCGCTGTTGTACCAACAAACAGCCTCTCAGGCCACCTTGGAAACAATGGACACTTGCATGCATACACTATTAGGGATAATGACAAC